TTGAGTCATAGTCGTAATGCCAACGGAGTCCACGCGCTCCTGGCCGCGTACAGTGATGTTAAGGATGAACTGACCGAGTTTGATGTTCTTGATGTCCGAGAACGCATCACCGTGCTCCTTACCACCGTACAATTCACCAAGAATAATATCATCGTCTTCAACAGTGTTGTCCTGAGGGGGGCTCGAATCTCCAAACAGGTCAATACCACCACTCCCCGATCCGAACATGTCGCCGAACGTTTTCTTGAAGTCTTCAAAGCTGAGCATGCTACCAGAGGCGTCGAATTTCGAACCCAGCAGGGCCGCTAAGGCTGCCTCAGTTCCGGAACCGCCGGTGCTGCCGAGCAGACCCGATAAGCCACCTTCACTTCCCGATCCAGCCGAGCTACCGAGCAGGTCGGACACATCGTCGCTTCCCGACGCAGTCGAGCTGCCTAGTAGGCCCGACAGGTCGTCACTTCCCGATTCAGCCTCCGATTCAGACAATGAAACAGCAGCTGCGGCGGGCTTCTTGGTCTTCTTGATAGTCTTCTTCTTCTTGGGGGGCGCCCCACTTCCAGAACCGCTGTCTTCGATATCTTCGCTCTCTTCGCTCCCTGACGCGGACGTAGACGCGGAGGCAGCCACCACAGGTTTCTTGGTCTTCTTTTTCCTCTTCGGTGTGGCTTCAGCTGCATCGCTCCCAGAGGTACTGCCCGAAGACGATGTGGAGGTCACAGCGACAGCAGGCTTCTTCGTCTTCTTCGTCTTAGGGGTAGTGGCAGAGCTACCGGCGCCCACCGTGCTTCCATCGGCTTCCGAGGCAGTATCGGTGTTTTTCGTAAATTCGCCAATCATACTGCCGTACATTGACATCAGGCTACTGGTAGATGGCCGTGCAGCCGTGCCAGGGATCGGCGTCGTAGTCGCGAATTCCCCCAATGTGTCTTCAGCAGCCAGGGTACTGCCCGCGGCAGGTGAAGCAGGAGCCGTGGTGTCATCGTCATCGCTAAACCAGTCAAAGAAGCCACGCTCTTCCTGCTTCTTAATATTCTCGTCTTGTGAGTCCGGGATATTCGCGGGGACAACGGTACCTAGCTTGTCCTTTGATGTTAGCTGAGTGTTCTGAAAATTTTCGTTTACCTCGACGCCATTCACGGAGGTGCTATACTGGAGCACTTGTAGCAACAGTGATGCCTGGATGACCAGCTTTATAGCTCGAAGCATCATGTTCTAACTTCTTAGTTTCAACTACTGCAGCGCAACGAGGCAACAGCTTGTGTCGGAGGTCAAAAATGCAAATGCAGCATCAAATCTCAAGCTCGATCGAAGTGATTACCCGTTCAGAAAACAACATCATCATTTTGGGTTATGGAGGCAGCTCAGACTGAGCTGGTGTTGTACAGTACTGAGCATCAGTCCAATCCAAAGTTACACGCAGACCGCTGCATTCGACAATGATAAAAGCCACATATATTCTTTCATGCATGTGGCCTAGTGCAAGGTTTTCATTAGAAAAAAAAACACCACCGATATCTCCAACTTTTTCGACCTGATTGTGGGAGTAGTTCTGATCTGCTGAATCGGAACTACGGCATCGACAACTATGGTTGGACCAAGAATATTGGTGAACTGTGGTCATTCTGCAATAACAGCTGCAGTTGACATTACGGTACATTTTGCGACAGAAGCAACACCGTGGGAATTCCTCTACAAACTGTAGTACAGTATTCACATTGCTGGCGTTCTTACTAAGAATCTTAGAGGCTGGTCGTGCTGCTGGTAGTGGTTAGTAACGATGACGATGGTTGCTGCGCTTTCATTGAAGGCCAACAAAAGCGGTGAACAACTGGGAAGTGTGAGCAGTTGGGAAAGTGGACGTGGATCTTGCGATGTCATTGAATTGTGGCATCTTTTCTCGACAGAATAAGGTATTTTGTCATCTTGCCCCACTAACCAGAAGGATAGATTACCGAATCAATACGAATCGCTTTCTACAGCACACGCCTCGGTATGTACTGAAAAGAGCAGTGCGAGTAGCTTTAGGAAAAAAAGAAAAACCTTTCCAGAACGAAGCAACTGCGATTTTTCCTCATGCGTACATAGCTTAAATATATTTCTGTGCTAAATTTTAGATAGAAATACTAAGTGGAGAAAGCTAAGT